AATGAACATGTCGGGAGATACAAAAGCTGATTATTGCCTGTTTGACGTTAAAGCAGACATTTCATGAATTATTCGGACTAATATACTCATCTATTTTTTTCATTTTGTTCTTTCTGCTTTTACTTAATATCTTCTCTAACATTGCCGATGCTAAGTGAAGTGCAATCCTTGTATGAATAATTTGGAATCTTTATCCTTGTTTTCAAATTTTGGTTCCAAGAACTTAACTTCTTCGATTTCTTGGTGTCGTTAACATCACGTTTATTTTGATACAAAGTTTAACATTCCTTCAGTGCATAATCCCCAGTCAAAAAAAAAAAAAAAAAAAAACAACACCTTACTTATGAAGAAACATGGAGATTTTACCCTTCTTTCAATAACTTCCTTTCATACAAAGTCATTTTTCGGTTTCAGCAGAAGATTCGGCAATCCGTAAAAGGAATCGCTTATACTGACAACATATTTTAAAAAATTGTCTTGTGAGTTTCATTATATAATCAGTTCTTTACAGCAGTCATTCCAGAATATATTTACTAAGTTTAAGTCTTGCAGAAGGTCATAAATTTTGAGCGCTCGTTGTAGATCAAACTTCCTATAAATATATACCAAGAGTCACTCATTAATCCTTGCTTCATGGTCGCCGTTCTAGTTTATAGATAGAATACCAATGTTTGTCTGTAACCATACCTCTCTATGCTGACTTTGGCACGAAGTGTTCTAAACGAGAAAGAAACAATTTACCGAAAGAAATCAATATTTAGGCACTTAGTGACCTGAAGAAGCAATTCTGACGAGATATGTTTATTTAATTTTATTCTCTGCTTTTGCCACATTAATTCTGAAATGGTGTGGGGCGCATAAACCTTACAAAAATCATAAATAATGCCATAAATAAACATATACGAGTAGATAGGTTTTCGCCTATCGCCCTGTTCACAACCCTGCCTTGTCTTTTGAACAGGTGTAGAGGGTTATCTCTTGTTTCCTGTTTAGGATTGGGTTTCCGGTTTCTTCTCTTAAGTTCTTTTCATTCTATTTCCCTTCTAGTAGCGCCTTGCTTCTTAGTTGCATTATTGTCTTGCTTGGTGTTAATTGATTAAAAAATGAAACAAAAATGAGTTGTCATTAGTTAAAATCTAATTTCTATAATGAATCAGTTAAAGTGCTCATCTGCTAAATAACCTAAATAATGTTTTGTCTTCATAATGTAAATTTCGTTTCTTTCAAACGAGATCCTATTGCTGATGAAACAGCTATATTAGCAGATATATCAATGTAGACTTTTTTTAAAAAAAAATCTTATATATTCTTCTCGATACCCTGTTGCCTCTGGAAGTAGCGATCACTGTTTTGCAAAATATCCTGTTCTTTTTAGCTCGGAGCAACATTTGTATTTTTACTGTCACTCTTATCGTGGCATTCAATCCCACTTTGATGATCCATGCAGATGCCGCGGCTGGTCGGTAATTTTGGAATCATATAATATGTGTCTTCCTTACCCTATTGCAATCATACTAAGTGTTAAGCAGATTTACAGGAATTAGTCATAAACATACGTTATCATTTTTCGTTTGGATGCTATGCTGTTTGCAGATTACATTCACAGGACGATGATTTTCTCTATTTGATGTGCAGGTGGTATAATACATACCTAACCGCACGGGATGAGAAAACGGAGGGTCGAGTTTGAATTACAGCCGAATTCGTAATATTCACTTACGCAAAAATAAAAGTGGGTAAAGTATGGGTCCATCGCTTTCCCCAGCTACACGCTGAATAAAACTTCTATCCTGAAAGATAATTGATATTGTAAAATAATATTAATACAAATTCATTCAAAAAAAAAAAGAAGTAAAATATATATTAATACAATTTCAAGATGCTTCGGCTTTAAAGAATTAAAACAATGTTAAGTTGTAAAATACAAAGCAAAATAACTACGTATAAAATTCAAGAGATACATTTCTAGTAATAAATAGAATAGATTTACCTTACTTCTGATGTGAGAATCTCTTAACTTTTGATTTATTCATTCGCTATCTATTTATCTATATATCTATCTAGTTGTTTCCTATTAGAAAATTACATGTATAATTTCCGATATAAATGTGCTTAAAAAAAGATAAAACTACTAAATCAAAAGCTTCCACTATTTAAAATAATTAGACAAAAATTAGCAAATTAAAATAAAATAAAATAATATATAATAAAATAATTACATTAATATATGAAAAAAGTAAATCTATGTCTCTTTCTCTTCTCTCTCTCTCTCTATATATATATATATATATATATATATATATATATATATATATATAAATAAATAAGAAAATACGTAACTGCTCTGGATGAGAAAACGGGGAATCGAGATGTATAGTAGTGGGCTTATATCGGACATGTGTTTGTTGATGATGATAATGTGGTCTTAATATGTTTTTTTTTAATTATATCTACATGCTTTCTAAAAGTTTTATGTTATTTTCCAAACATCTTTGAGCTGGCGTTATCTTCAACGACCTTCGCGATGTCATCCGTTCCCAACTAGACATTTATGCTGATGACACAACTAATTTCTCCAGTCTTTGTAATAAGTCCGACAAAGTATAACTGGCAGATGCTTTCGAAACAGACATCCAATCAGTTTTAATTGGAGTAAGAAATGACTTGTATATTTTAACGCTTCCAAAACGAATCTGCTATCTTTTAATCAGCATAGAGAAACATTTTGGTCCTCCATCAGCATGGCTGATGTTAACATCCAAGAGAAGCAACATATTGCGCCTTTTTAGTCCGACCTTTTCTACTGACATGAAGTGGGGCGATTGTATTGTATCAATTGCTCGTTCTAATACTAGAAAGTTTTGTTCATTGTGTGTTTATAGACAATTTTTCTCATCGGAATTCATTTTGCATATTAATAAATCTAACATTTGTGTGTGAATCGAATATTGTTGCCATATTCTATCTGGTGATTTATATCACGGGATTCACGACAAAATTCAAAGCAAACCCTGTATTGTTATTGATCCTGACTTGGTATCTTCACTTCAACCACTTTTCCATTGGCATTCTGCATTTTTTTCTATACATATTTTTCCAGGCATTTATTTTAATGAGCGCTCCTCTTTATCACCTCATCTTTTAAACGCAATCTCAATCGCCATCTTCTTATCATTTCTCTTCAATAAAGTCTACTGATTTTCTTCCACTCTCAGTAACCCCTTGCATATTAGTCGCATTATCGCCTTCCTTGGGATGAAATGATTTTACAAAAATGTCTCTTGGAAACGTCAGTCTATTTTAATCATTTCAGATAAGCTTACCGTGTTAATGACGCAGGATATCTGTAATTTTTTCTATTTCCGAAGGATTTTATTTTATTATCTTTTATATTAATGTTCACCCTATACAAGGCCCAAAAGTCATACCAGTGGGTACAGAGTTTATAAAAGAATTTGTTTTGTGAGTGGCAATAGTAAGAGTTAAGAGCCACAGTTTATGAGGTTACGTCAGAAAGATAACGGTTGACGCGCAAACGGCGAAGCAAGTCTTAGCTGGGTTGATTATAGTTGGTGGAAATAAGAAATGTAGCACGTCTGATCATTAATCACACAAAAGATCCAGTAGACGCTTTTAGATTCTATCCTCCCAAGAATGCGGTGTACTCGAAAGCATTTCCGACAATATAGACAAGACTTTCTCACTTCATCCGTTTGTTCATGTATTCGTGTTCAGTGACTTTTACGCCCACCATACCAAGTGGCTTAAAAAATCTATAACTGATTTACCTTGCATACGAACCCTTAACCTTTCAATTACTCAATCCCTCACACAAATCGTTAACTTTCCTACACGTTTCCCCAATAACCATGACGGTAACGCTTCCTTTCTAGATTTTTGGTTCACCTCCATCCTCGAGTCTTGTGCCACGCAGCTCTGCCCTCTTGGCAACTCTGATCATGCTGTAGTGTCTGTCAACATCCCCTTCTACTCGATCCCCAGCAAAGAAACTCCTACCAACACAACACCTTCTGTTAGCAACGAGTTGACTGGGACTCGTTCCGTGATTAACTTTCCCTGGAATATGGTATTTAATCCTCCGTTCGAGAATGCGCTTTCGAAGTCTCCTCCTGGATAAAAGCTGGAATCGAGGCTTTCATCCCCGCAAGGAAATATATGGTGAAATCGCGTTCATACCCTTGGTTCTTTGCTGCTTGCTCGACTGCCATTGCCCATAGGAATCACTTCCTCCGCCTGTACCGTAGTGACATGTCAGATTGCAGCAGACATCTCTCTGTCTTAGCCTGTAAAGCGTACAAGCGCGTCCCCAATGAAGCAAAGTCATTATTTGCTAATAGAATGAAACAAATTATTGTATCTCATGAATTCGGTTCCAAATATTATTGGCGTCTCTGGAAGAGCGTACTAAGCAACAACAAACCCACGATACCTCCTTTATTCAACCAATTAGAGGTCCTGACTTCCTCAGCTGATAAGGCCGAATGCTTTGCTCGGAAATTCTCATTCAATTCAACGCTCGACTCATCCGGGGTACCCATACCCGATTTCCCACTAGAACCGAGGCTTTATTGAGCGAGTTGGTATTGGACATCATCTCTAAATTAGTCTCTCATAAGGCTAGCAGTTGGGACGGGATACTGTACTGTACTGATGCGGCATTCACCCTGGGCGGATTGAGCCGGCTTCTTCCTGTTATGAGAAGAAGATTCTTGGGATAAATTACAGAAGTAGGGTACCCAGGCCTACTCGGATAACGTTCTTGCTTGCCGCGGGGTTCCCACAGACGCAGAGACAGGAACGACCAGAAGCCGACGGTTACCGATGCAGACGCTCCTTGGATTTTCACCAGAGCCCTTGTTAGCCGGCGTGTGTGTCAGACCTGTCCGCCTTGGGTGGCACTACCAGGAACGAAGTTCCGGGCGGCATAGCTCTGACACTACCGTTTACACCGACTGTGAGGTAAGGGTTGGACTTTGGGGGCTTACAGTACCAGGTGTTCCCAAGCGGTCCCCCATCTAAGTACTGACCTGGCTCTACGATGCTTAACTTCGGTGATCGAACGAGAACATTTGACCGTAAGCAGCAGTTGGGACGGGATACCAGTCATTGTCCTGAAGAAATGCGCTCCTGAACTGGCTCCTCTCCTCTTCAAACTATACAACTACTGACTCAACGACTCATGCTTTCTATCCTGTTGGAAGTCTTTATATGTTGTACCTGTCTTTAAGAACTCTTGAGACTACCATCCTATCTGTCTCCTACCACTTTTCAGCAAAATCTTTGAAGCTTTAAGCACCTTACATCCAATGACAAGCAATATGGTGTCGGCTTTGCCTAATCTACAGCTGATGTACTCACAGCCATAACTGTATTTGTTTTACAAGCACTTCAAAATAACGAAGAAGCTCGTGCCGTGGCTCTAGATATCTCTAAAGCGTTTGATATAGTTTGGCCTGCTGGCCTCCTTCGTAAGCTTCAGGGATACGCTATTTCAAGACGATTATTTGACTCAATACAGTCATTCCTGTCAAACCGTGTAATGAAGGTCGTCTAACAGATTCTCTACCAGTTCCTTTCTCACGAACACAGGTGTTCCCTAATGCTCTATCCTGGATCCTACACTATTCCATATCTTCATTAACGATCTTCCCGATGTCATCAGTAACCAAGTAGGCATCTATGCAGACGACACTACCATTTACTCCTGCCTAAATTACAAATCTGGCATCGCTGACAAAACTAACCTGGTTGTAGGTCTCGAAAATGACGTCTAATCGGTTGTTGGTTGAAGCAGGAAATGACTGTTAAATTTAATGCCTCAAAACAAAACTGCTCTGTATTACCCCCCACACACACACACAGTGAACCTTCCCTGCCTCACATTAGAATGTCTGATGCTCAACTCCACGAGAACACTTCTTTGCGACTGCTTGGTCTCACACTGTCCGCTGACCTAAGATGGAAGAAATACATCGAATCAACAGCTTTATCTGCTGCAAGGAAAGTTGGTTCTCAGTGTGGCGCCAAAAAGGTTTTTTCGTCCGAGTCCATCCTTCAAATCTATAAATCAACCACTCGCCCTTATATGGAAAACTGCTGTCATATATGATCTGGGGCCCCCGCTGTTCGTCTTATGGTCCTCGACAAAATCTAGAGAAGAATGTGCAATGTGGTTGGCCCTGATTTGGCATCTGGTTTACAGTTGCTCTCTCACAGACGTCCCCGCGCCTCCCTCTGTCTTTTCTACAAATACTTTCACGGTAACTGTTCCGACGATTTATTTTCGCTAGTTCCCAAACTGCATGAATTTAAACGTTCTGCTAGGCTGGCATCTCAGTCCCACCCTTTCACTGTCGAAACGGTGAAATGTAGCTGTCTCTTCTAGCCTAATAGCTTCATGCCTCGCACTTATCGTCTGTGGAACTCCCTTTTTCCTTACCTGCTTCCCTGATAGCTATCATCTCCATCTATTCAAATACATTGTCAATCGACATCTCCAAATGCCTCGATCTATTCCCCGTTCTTCTCTTCAATCTTCCCTCTATCACGCCTCTTTAATCTTGCTCCCACTCTCTTGCGTGCTAGTGGCACTCCAACCTTGCTTGCGGTGAAGATCTTAAAAAAAAGACTGGAAAGTTAAGACAGCCCAAATATGGCCACATTGATCTATATCCGGCTCTTGTAAATCTAGAAGATATCAGGATTGTGTGATCATTTTTACGGCTTATCAGCCGTATGTGTATTATTTGAAACCAGAAAAGACATTTAGAGTGTAAAAAATGTTTTTGGAAATATGGGGAGGTGGAGTCTTTTCTGAAGGGTATTTGTGCCTAAGTGAATATACCGAAATAAACGGGAATTCGAATTCTGACCCATTAGCAATGACACCACCCTTACATTTCAGCTAACAACACCTGGTATATCAAAATGGTCACCCACATAGGTACATATCAGGATCGTTTTTTCTTAACTTCGTTGATCATTCCAGAACCGGTGTTTCCATGTGATATACGGCGATATGCCTGTGTTCCGTACATAACAGGAAGAGTCAATTACTTCGTTGAGCGTTACACTGAATCGACATTTTGTTCACCTTTATTAGCGGTTCATCATATATGCAAATTACACTTGAAGTCTGGAGTGATATTATGTCCTAATAGTGGTTCAAAGCAAAGGGTCTCCATTTGGGGTCTGGTCGGTGATGATAGATCGTTGCTAGTTATGTTTTGTAGGTATACTGATCTGTTTGGCTAAATAAGTTTAGAAGCATAGAGTCTATCATATTTTATTCTGGTTTGTTCTCTACGAGGCACTCACTGACCCAAGCACAATTTACATTTGTTTCAATGACCAGCCCAGGAAAAAAAATGGAATATCAAGAATGATCGCGACTCATATTAGAATGAACGAATTAGTTGAGATAACCCTGCACGGAGTGAATGCTTTTTGGCTGATAGATTATTGAGAGTGTGTCTACTATAGCGAAAGTCTGGCTTATTCTGCAGATGTTCTAACCAACCCTTCATTTTCTTTCCCCAAATACTTTCTCTTCGTTTTCTAAATTCTGGCTTTTCAGTATCGAAATGACATTTCCATTCACTTTTTATCCATCTTGCCTGAATGTTTACCGCATCATTTATTTAAGTGACAAAACAAATTGAACGTCTTTGTATACAAGGTGAAGCGACCGGAACATTACACTCCGAGTCGCTCACATACGAAATGGACAGATGACATAAAATAGTCGGTTGAGAAAGAAAGGGATAAAATTAATGAAAACAACAAAGAGATAAGAAAACAGAAGACGACGAAAGACGTGTTCGTGGAAAGAAGGTGGTGTAACATTAAGATCCATTATCATTTGTGGCATCTTGGCCTTGTAAATCTTGAAAAGCTACTCTAAGTAGCGTTTGCAGTTTTAGTTTCTGATGAGTGTATTAAAGAAAGGAATTTAGACAGTGTGGGAGACACAAAAAGGAGGGAAAGTAGGAAAGAAGAAAGCTAAAAGAAAAGAATGCTGTTGATGAATGTAAGAACAGTTCATTAATTGGATAAACACTAAGATATAGAACAAAAATGCAGATGACAAAAGGTAATGAAAGTTAAGAACGGAAAAGGAATTTTCAAAATTTTCAGAATAAAGTAAATGAAAAATGGATGTTTGAAAAATTGTTAAATGAAAATGAAAAATATAACTGACTAAGAATGAATGAAATATATCAGTACTGAAAATATTCAAAGATAAAAAGAAAGTGACAAAATAAAAGGAAACATAAATGAAGTTAAAACAAAAAGTCAAAAGGATACTAAAATATAGTATAGAGTCAGGAAGTTATTTTGAAATCGAATTAAAGAAAACGATAAGAAAAAATTCGAAAAGGAATGAAATTAAGACATCACGAGTGAGATATATTTCCATGTTATATACGGTGATATGCCTGTATTCCGCACAAAGCAGGAAGAGTCAATTACTTTGTTGATCATTACAGGGTATCGACCTTCTGTTTACCTTCATTAACGGTTGATCATATCTGCGAGTTACACTTGAAGTCTGGAGTGATATTAAATCACAATAGGCGTTCAAAGCAAAGGGTCTTCATTCGGGTCTGCTCGCTGGTGATAGAACGTTGCTAATTTGTTTTTTTAGGGGTATTCTGATCTGTTTGGCTAAGGGCAGATAACAGAAGGAAAATAAAAAAAAATAGCAACTTAAAAGAAAAATGTTAAGGAGGAGTATGAAGAATAATTTACCAAAAATAATGAAATAAAGAAATAATAAACAAGAGTGAATGAATAGACAATAAATAATGAAATTCAGTAGGTATGTAAATGCAACCAACAATGGGAAATATCTAAGAAAAAAAGAAATACAACAGAAATGGATATCTACTACCTTCCGGATTACTCTTCTATTGCTCTCGCTCTTTCTTAATGTTTTCTGTTTTCTAATTCTTTCGAACCTAGTGTCTTAGTGGCTTTATGCCTTGTTTTGTGTAAATTCGACTAAAAGAAAAAAAGAAATGAAAGAGAAAACAAACTAACACAGAATAAAATAGAAGGAAGTACACGTCGCGTTCACTGCAATGGTTTGCAATCTTGTCTTGAAGAATATTAGTTTATGGAGACAGTTTGAATCATATGCATGTTCTAAAGTTGTTTCAGTGTACCTCATTAAGCTAGGATCAGTAGATATCAAAGAGGCGAACATTTTGAAGGCTAGGAGGAAAGTAGAGCAAAAATGGTAACAATGGATTATCACATTGAAAAAGAATTACAAAATATTGATATGAACCGAAAAGAAAAGGAACAAAAAGCAAAGGTTATGTTAAGAAAAAGATGTTCAAAACACAACAAAAGAAAGCAAATCAAACAGCTGATGAAAAAAAAACATCATCGTGAGATAATTGACCACCTAAGGTAATATAAAAAAAGAAAATTAGAATATCGTCAAAAATGAACACTGAACCCCAAATGAAGTTGAGAATATGAGATTAATGTTATGGATAACGGGAAAAGAAATGGAGAAGAGAAAAATAGGAAAGTAAGTGAATAATAAAAAGTCAACACAAAAGGTAGCGTTTCAGAAATGAAGAGATTTTGCTCAAAGGGAAAAAAGGAAGTCGAGCAGAAATGAAGACAAGGATAGACCAAGTGTGAGCTAAAATTGCATCTAACTTCAAACAGGCCAAAATTTCATATCTACAAACAATAAAAATGCTGGATTTCAACGTATAATATATGTATAACGTATAATAAATAAATAAAGAATGAATGAATGAAAGAAACAAAGTATTATAAAATAAATATCCAATAATGATAATTTAAGAAAACATTAGAGGAATATATGTACAGCGGGTGCTGTAAAATTGTTGGTTCGTCCCAGTTACCAGAATCTGACCAAGCAAAAGAAAACACGACTTTCGAGAATATTTTCTTGGTTGAGCAGAGAAATTTTCAGCACCCCCTCTGATATATGATCTGGGGGAAAATGGTGGTAAAATCGGAAGAGATAAAACGTAAATACAAGGAATTAGATTAGACGTTAACTTACGGTGGAGCAGGTAAAT